GGAATATCTGTGCTAACCATAAATTGCTTCATAATTACTTTTTCTTCAGTAGAGAGCAATACAAAATACTTTGATTACAATTAGAAAAACTGAGAGCCAACCCGAATTCCTCAATACTTCAACAAGTTTAGAATTTCTCGCTTTTCTCTCAACAAAGTTTATATATCTCATCTTAGCTTCATTCCAACAGCTTGTTTCTTTATTCCTTCAGTCAACTGTTCTTAAAGAATGACGTCATTTAGTTCAAATATGCATAATTGATTATCTATTCATCTATCTATGCATCTATCTATCTATCTACCTATCTGTCTATCTACCTATCTACCTATTCATTTATCGATCTATCTGTTCATCTATCTATCTATTTATCCATCATTCATCCATTTATTAATCAACCTCTGTTCATCCATAAACTTACTCTTTTTCTACGCAAAGTAATCTATTGATTGAAGTAAGCATATTGATCAGATCAGATCAGATCAAATTAGATTAGATTAGACAAGATTAAATTTTTCTCACCAAAATTTTTATTTGAATTCTGCTACATTTTCTCAGCAACAGTTTCTCTTTTTCTTTTGTTCGCATTTTTTCATAATTATTTTCCTATTAATTATTCGCAACTTTTTTTCGCTTTACTTCACTTTTTAATCCTTAAACACTACATTATATATCTAAACACTGCTATCTAATCCGCACAATCATTGATTCATTCATTGATTCATTCATTCATTCAATCATTCATTCAATCATTCTCATATCAGTATTCGCTCACAGTCGTAAAAATTTGAATTTCTTGCTTGCATATTTTTTTTAGATTTACATAATTTTCTGTTCTTTTTTTATAAATGATTTACACACTTTTTCAATTCGTTTTTATGCTTCTTTGAACTTTTGTTTTTGACTCTATGCAAGTACTTGCGTTTTTGTTTGTTAAAATCAATCAATAAGGACAATGTTTGGTTGCTTCAAAATTGCGTAGTAAATTTTAATTATTTGGAAATGATAAATGCAAAAAGCATCGAAATATAAAGTTATTCATTTCCTTCCGAACGAATGATCGATTTGAGTCACGGAATTCACGTTAGTTCATTTCAGCTTAAGATGGAGACTAGCGTGTGTTGAATTGAAAAACTGGCAGGAAAATAATACTAATTACCACGATGATAATATTGCTTGCTTTATGTCTTGTATTGTAAGAAGGAAAGTTCATCGGATCTTAAGCTTTCTTGCTAAGACAGAAGTCATAGAAAAGCTTGACTTGTCAGGCATTTGTAAGTACTCAGATTACTTTGATAATGAGTAGTGTAGTTGAATACAAATTAATAATCGTAAAAAGTTAGATGACAAAACAGAGAAGCTGCGAAATGCATCAAATCATTCCAGCAAATGTTCTTCTCACAAAGGTTACTAAATGACTCATTTCACTATTTTTACTAGTTTTTCTCCTGAATTTGTTTTGTTTGATTTTTTTGCTTCGAGTTAGTGCTGTATTTATTCAGCTCGGAGTGATTTGAATTGCTGAACTTTTTCAGAATTTTGTTGTGCATAAAAGAAGTAAGCTATTACTATTGTGTCACCGATTTGATCTGACTGATATGATCAAAATCATGCCTTTTCCCCCATGTTTGTGATACCTTAGGCGCTGCTCTTTCTGAAGGCCTCTCAGTTTCTATTCAAATACTATCTGTAAAACCTTTGACCTGTGCATTTCATGAGCGAATGCAGATACACACTAAATGTAGACTAAAATATAGATTAAGGCAGTTACATATTTCAGCTCAAAATCAATTTGACTGATTAATAATATATACTTTTAAGAACTGATCTTTAATTATTTTCTCGAGTGTTCTGGATCTTCCTTTTTTGCATATCTCATATCTTCATTTTTTCACTGTCATTTTTTCCTCATGTAAATTTTCCTATCACCAAATTAAATATATCTAAATATATAAATTAAATATGTCGAAATTTAGTGATCAGTAAACGAAATTCTTATATTAATGTGCAAATATACTTAGTAGTATTATTAAAGAAAGGATTTAGTCTATTGAAAATTATTCGTTTACTTCACGTGATTCATTGAAATATAGGAAAATGAATGAGAAATATTTTCTGCAAACTCTTATGGCAGTATCTCACTTATCCACTTATAATTGCATGCCTTTGGATATTATAAACTGATCGAAATATGAAAATTGTTGTTAACTTTTCAGAAAATGAAGTTATCATTTGCAGCAGCAGAAGCGTGTAAATGAGAGAAAAAGTTACTGGTAAGGTCAAGCAAACATACAGACTGCGTGAATTTGGTGCTGCTTCTATCTAGCTGAACTGTGCTGGGCTTGACGAGAGTTGAAATTGCAAATAATTCCCGCAGATCAGTCATTTTTTAGGGTTAAAGTATGGTTGAATTCCATATTTTTCGTTCTGCGAAAATCGATTTTTTTTAATTTCTCGGAATTGATATTGTGTTTGCTTGTACTAAAATGTTGTATTATAAGTTCTGTTTACTTATAAAACGTTACTTTTATAATTATGTTTGTTAAGAAAGACGCTTTCGTTCGTTGCTTTTCCTTAGAAATTCTCTATTTCTCCATAAAAATGCTGTTTATTTCCTGCAAATAAGTTTGCAATCGAAAAGAAACACTTTGTCATTTCTGTTCATTTCTCTAAATGAGATTTATTTAGATAGTTTTTGATGCATAAAAGAAAAGTTTGGTCTATGAATTAGATTTTATTTCTGTACACTCATAAAACTTTCATTGTTTGAGCTCACTTTCAGGTTGTAGTTTTACAGTACATAACTTACGACACAACTTCCTTGTCTTAGCAGTCGAGATCAGTTTTTGTATTTGTCAATTTTTATATGCCTCTAATACGTGACCTCAATCCACATTTCTTTGGTTAAATTGAAATGGTCAAGGCGATTATTGCAATTTGTTGCAATAATCAGGCAGACGCAACATTTGCTCTACGTCATGTCTGGCTGGTTCTTCTTCTCGATCTTTAAGGCAGTGTTTGTTTACACTTCTGCTCGCAGGCAGTTTGCATTGCAGTCAGAAGCAATTACAAAATTCATTTCCAAAATTAATAACTTATTTTTAAACTGTTTGTTGCTTGTTTTAACGTGATTTTCGTGACGTAATGTAGAATTAATTTAGTTACCTGAGGAAAATAACGTTGTCACTTATTATTGTGATCTTCGTTCAAGTATTTCTAGCATCGATTTGTCTACTATGTATACTATATTAATGAGCTGTTGAATCATAACTGAATCATTGTAAACCTTCCAAATTATGAATTCTTCAGCATTAGGATTTCATTTTTTTTGTGCAATATATTTGTTGAAAAATGTGTTTGCCGCCGTTTCTCTTTCGAGCAAACAGCTTACATTTCCTAGCTAAAAATTACCTGAATAGACTTTGGCAGTTATCAACCTTGTCTATTCAGTAATTTTGATTCATTTTTTCCAGCTATAACTTACTTTTTCATCTTTTTAACTCCTTTCAACTTCATATTGGTGCAATTCGTATCAGAGCTTACAGCTATTATTTAAATTTCATTGATTCTATGAGCTTATTTGAGTATCTGTTTGAAAATTTCCGAGAACTGGCTGTGATAAAATAAGTTAAACTATTTGCAAAATCCATGTCATTTAGAACTGAAATTATCTGGGAACTGTTGCGGAATTTTTTATATCACCCAGATCGATATCTGTATTTTTTTGAAATTCGTCTCTTACTCTTGCATTGCTTCCTTCTTCATCAATGGATAACACGTTATCGTATACACTCATGAATCTTCGATCTTACCTCGCTGCAATTTTTGTAGATGGAAATTATCCCGTACTGCGCACCTTACTGTCTTTACATTATCCATGTACGGGCTCTTTGTATCTTTCATTCACATATGTGCCTTCTTATCACATTCATTTGTCTACGTAAGTATTTGTTAAAGTGCTGCTCACGTCTGAAATGGACTGAAGTAATCTGGAACTTCTCTACTCATTCTCCCAGTCGATAGCTGCTGTCGTTTCCTTTCCTGTATGCACGCAGACACACTATAGCATATACATTATCAGTTGTTAATCGTGGCAGATTTTCAATGCAGTGATGTTTATTCAGTAATCAGTGTTAATAAATTTGACTAGATTTTATTGAGTTAGTACTAGTTTCGCATTAAGGTAGGCAGCTATTGGAGCTGATTTAAACTGAATGATCTTCCGTGACGGTTGTTCACATGTAATGTTCGCATGACAAAGTTTCTGCTGGCTGCTTTCATCACACAAAAGCTGAATTGCACTGCTCTGCGAACATATGCATACTATGTGCGTTCAGTACTTTGACTAATAATGGCTTTTCCAATCATTTGCCTCATATCTGATCTGAATTTCTTCTAGTTCAATTTTTGCTTTGAAGACAATATTATTTTGATGCCAAATTAAATTTGGATTTGTGTAATAGCTGGTCATTCCATGTTTGTACTGTTCGTCACTCATGTAACAGACCTCTGGCAAATGATACAAAATTTTTAGGTTATGTGAATCAGTAAGTTTGCAAATTTGGATGATGATGAAGAGTGATAATTATCAGCCGTGAATTGATTTTCATTCTACTCTTTCACTTTCTTATTTCTGAACTCGCTGTGGTCACTGATTAATATCGATATTTTGTTAATTGACAATGTACCAATCGTCACGTAACATACATACTTCGCTCTCCACTTTTTCACAGAAAAAACCGTTGATACATACTGCGCAGGCAATTCCTCTTTTCATTCGTAACTAAACTCATAAAATGGTGTAAAATTAACTTGCTTGACGTGACGTGTGGTCATGTGCATCATCGGTAATTTACGAGTGTGGAAGTGCTAGCTTAGAAGAAAGAAAAAAATAGATGCAACTAAGATTTTTTATATTTCATAGCATATTCTGAACTAATTTGCATGTACTGATGGATCAAAGTAAAGATAAGAATTGTGCAACAGGGTGAAACGAATGAAAAATGAGAGATATTCCGTGTCGTGCGGTGAGCAGCAGCAGCTCGAGCTCAATTTCTACTATGCGATTCAATGAAGAGCCATTTGAGCAACGCTATGAAATTGATGAAGAGCTTGGAAAGTAATTTTTTCTCTCACGCGACAACCTAATCATCCATGTCTTTCACTGTATTTAAAGTTCATTTATTTGTATGTCATATTTTATTAATAAATTTTAAGTGCTTCATTTACATTATATTTCATTTTGCGTCTCTGATAAGTTTGATCGTTATGTAATACGTTTTGAACAAATCTGGTAAATAGCTCTTTAATGCAAGTCGTTTAGTAAGTAATAAACATTTAAGTATGTTATCAGAGTGGATTACTAAAACAAATAAGATAAAGGGAATTCATTGCATAAAATTGTATGCAATATAAGCATTCCTTCAGCTAATGCTTAGGCATTTTGTATTCTTTGTTTTTATTACTTTCACATAGCATAACTATTGTGATATGTTATTTTTTAGAGAGGTTTTTGAAATGTATTCAATTCTTAATTTACTACAATTTGAAATGACTATGTTGTATATTCTAGTGGGCAGTTTGCTGTTGTTCGACGAGTAATTAACAGATCAACTGGTGAACAGTTTGCTGCAAAATTCATAAAAAAACGACGCTATGCAACATCTCGACGAGGGGTTACACGTTGTAATATTGAACGGGAAATTGATGTGTTACGAGCGATTGGTGGACATGAATACACGATCAAATTGTTTGACGTGTATGAAACAGCTTTTGACGTGATTCTTGTCCTTGAGCTGTAAGCAAATTTTTGTACAATAGCAATAGATTGAATATATGTTTTATTGAAAAAAAGAAAATAAATGAAGCAAAAAATGCTAGCTGTTATGTTAGGAAAATTTCGAAAAAAATAAGCCATCATTTTAGACTAATTACTTAGTTTTATTAAATTAAATTATTAGTCTTACTTAGTACTTAGTCTAAGTCTCGTTTTAGTATATCATCTGATATAACAAATAATAAATCTTGTAATTTGGTTCACTTCGAAAATTATGAGAAATTTTCAGCAAATTTTCAAACTATCACTTGGTCATAACAAAAATTGAGCTATCTAAAAATGATAGCAATCAACTTTTCTGCTACTTTATACTTGACAGTCTAATCATTAAGACAGTATCTGATTGAAGTTAATGATTTTGTTTCCAAATCCTTTTCTTAACTTCCACAATGTTTTTATAATTTACACTGTGTATTACAGTCAATTTTATTCTCGAAAAATCAGTTTTTTAAATATCACTAATCTAATTAAGTTCATTATGTTGAATCACTTTCTTCTGGGTAGATATCATATGTCATATCTGTTCTTGATCTCCCGAAATTTTTAATCAAATTTTGATTGTGATAGAATAAATTTCAAACTGCAAATTATTTTGATGAAATACTCAGTCCTATTTAATGGTTTAGCCATTCAATACACGTCTTACCATGGTGATTTTTTATTTCAGTATATCGAATGTGTTGCTGTTAATTATTTCTTTAGTCCAAAAAAGTAGCAATTTTTAATCATCAGTAAAGCTTTGAACGATTCTGGGCACAAGAAGTACCTGGTTTTCAAATTGTTCTTCACTAAAAAATAAGATGAATCTCGACTTGAAATGCGATTATGCTGTTTAAAAATTTTGTCATACTTTGGCAGATTGAAGTAGCGAAGATCAAAGAAATTTTTAGTTTGATGATCCAATCATTACTTTTCAGAGTATCGGGTGGAGAGTTATTTGACCACGTGTCAGCCAAAGAGTGCCTTGATGAAGCTGAAGCTGCAGCTTTTATTCAACAAATTTTATTTGCTATCAAACATTTACATGATAATCATATTGTTCATCTGGATATCAAGGTAAGTAAAAGTAATGAATCTAAAAGTTTCTTTAAGTCTGTACCAAATGTGGAAATCTAATGAAGTAAAACGAATTTCAAGAAAGCTTAGGAACCGTTGTAGTCCAATAATAAAGAAGCATCAATTATTGATAAACAAACACACATTTTTCATATGAATCATTAAATTGGTCAATTAATTAAAATCAATAAGATTTTCGATCCTGATGTTTTTTTTGTTTGAAAGTTAATTTCATGAGTATTATTGTAGCCAGAAAATGTGATGCTCAGGAAGAAAGGCGATTCAAAAATTAAACTCATTGATTTTGGTCTTTCAAGAAGGATTCTACCGGGTACTATTGTTAAAGATATGATTGGAACGCCTGAATTTGTTGGTAAGTACTACTGTAGTAATTTTTCCATTCTTTCGAAAGCTGAATTTTTCTAAAAAATCGTAAGTTATTATCAGCACTGAGAAAGGTCACGAAGTACACTAAATAAATCTAATGAATACCGTAATGTAGTTAATTAGTATGTCTAATACTTTTTCATCAAAAGGTTACGTTTTTATATCAAATTTCGCCACTTTTATTTTATTTCTTGAACAACAAAAGCAACATTATGCATTAGAATAGTCTAAACAGTCACATTAATTGTGTGAATACTAAACATTCTTATTATCTTAAAAGTAAATGTAAAATTTGCGTTGTTTTCTGCGAAATTGATTTTTTTTTAGCTCCAGAAGTTATTAATTATGAACCATTGTCTTCGGCCACTGACATGTGGGCATTAGGCGTTGTTACATTTATTTTGTAAGTAATTATAATTTCATGTTTCAATTTCAGCAAAGTTGTTTTATGAACTTTGATTAAGTTCCATTGTAAAAATGTTAAAAAGTAGAGATCAAAAATTCATATTGTACAATAAAATGTACACATATCCAATTCTTATTTACCAGAAGTCTTTCCTTCTCATTAGTGCCATTGATTTCAGGCTCAGTGGTGGTTCACCCTTTTTAGGTGAAACACGTGATGAAACGTTTGTAAATATATCAGCCGTTAACTACCACTTTAGTGATCGTTATTTTGAGCATATTTCATCGTTTGCCAAAGATTTTATCAGCCGCCTTTTCGTGAGAGATCAACGCAAACGAGCTACTGTTGATGAATGTTTAAGGCACCCGTGGGTTCTCGGTGTATGTCATTTGCATCATTGGCTCACCCATTTTTTCTTTCAAGTCAATTTTTTTTGTTCAAATAATGGTTGGCAAAACGCTAATGTGGTGGCTAAAAATTAGTCAAAACAATAATTGTTTTTTAATTTTTTTAAAGCTATTTTTTTTATGAAAATTCGATAAATAAATGGCATAGTATTTCAGTTAATCAAAGATAATTTCTTTGTGAAAAATTGTTACGATAGACTGTACTTTTGCACACAATGAAAGTTAATGAAATTTTTTTGAATGTTTTCGAAATGACTTTTACTTTCCTATATATGAGTTCTGTAAAGTGAACAATTATTAAAAATTAAAATTGTAATTATCTAATTATATGCCATAGCCGCGTATTAATTATGAAAGATCAATTAATGAAAGATTAAGGTAAAATTGATAAAAACATAATTCAAATGTATTATCAACATCATACATACTTGTGTTTAATCCTTTCAATTCATAATTTTAGATCAAAAGTTTTGTGGATAACACAAATTTAAAGCACATAATCACAAGTCACTGCTTTCTTCCAGAAATTAAAAATATCAGCTTTGAAAAATCGTATTTTTCAAATGTGACTTTTATGTAATTTAAAATTTTATTCTTTTTTGCAGCCCAATGAAATTTCAAATGATATTCGCCAACATTCCGTAATTTCTATGGCTCAGATACGATCTTTCAAAATGCGCCTGAAATGGAGGGTATTTATATTTGAATGCAATATTTATTATGTGTCATTGTAATAAATATAGATGTTAAAAACATTCAATCTGAATTACTTGTTTTAAATTTTAAAATTCAAGCAGTCGGACTTAGTTTTTTGTAGAGACTGTTGGAAAGATTGCAGCGAAAGTTTTGAAAATGGAGACATTTACTATTTCTTATTCTTCCAAGTCTTTTAGTATTTCTTTCAAAAGACTTGGAATTCAGATCATAGATTCTGCACTTTTCTATTGCATTAAGTTTAATACGAATGTTATTAAGAAATTGTATATTATGGTAGATAATTTTGTTCTTCAAAGGAATACTAACAGATCAAATTAAATTTTTACTATGGTAGATAATTTAAAAAATTTTTAAATCACCTTTACATTGTAAGTACTGAATTGCGTATGACTTGTTTTTTTTTGCAACCAAATGAATTGAACAGTTTTGAGATTTGTGGAAATAAAAGCGGGCTGATTATTTATTGATTATTTTATGTTTGTAGCTTTAGTTTTAAGCCTATAAAATTCATATACTCAGAATGATTCAAAAATATTCATGATAAATGCGAATGAATTGTGTAAAGTAAAATTGTGGATTAAATGAACACTTGGTATCTGTTATACATTTTGGGTTTGTGTCATAAGATGTTAAAATGCAAATAAATTCACTTTATTGTTATCAGTTATTCCCTTCCATCTGAAAGTAATTATTTGGATTTCAGAGAGCAGTAGATATTATTATAACTTGTAACAGAATTACTTTCAATGCTCGATCCGCCCTTCGGAAAGCCTTAGAAGCTGGCCGTTCTGTTAATTCACGACTGAATTCGGTTAGCTAACAATAACTAATCCATACAGTCCATCATTCACCATTTCAAATAACTCAGATCTATACAAAACTGTATATCATGCATGTAATATATTATACTTTGATAAGAACGACATGCTCATTAATGCATGCATAAGTTGAAATAAATAATAGTTTCTCGCCTCAGTTTTGTTTTTAGCAATAGTAGTAAAAAGTTGAATTCTAAAGTTTATGGGACATTTTGGCTTACAGATGTCTATTTTAGAGTATACTGATTGGTATGATTGATCTGTTCCTACTTTAGATAAGACGAGACTCATTGATTAATTTACTAAGTTTATTTTAGGATGAATTTATTGTATCAGCGATACTAATTGCTTGCGAAGAAGGTAACTTGGCAGGGCTTGATCAGTTAGCTGTTCTATATCGAATCAGTTTGAACCTTTCAAATCGAGTAAATACTCTAATTGGTTTTTGGATGAATAAATAAGCAAAAAATTATTATTATTATCAAAGTATCATTGAACGCACTGCACTTATAGTTTTCAATCACTGCCAAACTTAGACTTAATTTGTGTTTGGAATCTTTTCTGAAATAATGTCAACACCGATATTTTGAAGTTAACAAAGCAAAAAAAATTTTTCTAAGTCATTTAATTTTTTTGTCAAATACAATTCACACTTATTAATAAGTATTATTCATAGATCATAATGAGCTTCAATAATGATAACCTGATGATAAGTGTGTGAGATAGAAGTTCCAAATTCTGATTAACAAAATATGTTTTTGTAACAATTCATGTCTTAACAATATGTAGTTGTTTTAGATGGGTGAAACAGCAATGCACATTGGTGCAGGTGCAGGTCAATTCGATGTCGTGCACTACTTGCACATGAATGGTGCTGCACTGGACGCATCCGATATTCGGGGTGATACACCGCTTTTTTGGGCCGCAAGAAATGGCCATGCAAATATTGTAAATTATCTAATCAATGAAGAAAATGTTGACATCAACACACTGAACAAAGTTATTATTTTGCAGTTAATTATTTCTTGTCAGCATAAGAAAATTGCTTAATTAGCAGCAAGATTTTGTCACCATCCATCCTTATTTGATTTCAGATTTTATACAATTTGTGACACAAAAATTGTGCTAAGCAGCTCTGTTAACATACATTTATAGCAAAATTGTGTTTGCTTAACTCGTCAGTTAGGAAACTGATATCAGTTTCATCCTTCACCTCCAAAAAAGATAGAGGATAAAGTAATAACTTTAACAGCAGTAGCGATATAAAGCATATCTTCAATAGTGAGAAAGATAAAGGAAATTTGGTAAATTAGGCGTACTTACTTCGTATTATTGTTATTTCTTTTTTTCAAAGAGGTAGTCAGTGCTGCTAAAAACTAAGGAATGGCTATTTCCAAGTATGTGTTGTAGAGTGATGAAAGCGTTTTGCATGTGGCTACTCGTCATGCGCATTTCGAGTCAGTTTTGTTGTTGCTTGAACGTGGAATTGATCAGTGTGCACGTGATGAGGTATATTTTCTTACAAAAGATATATTTTTTGAGAAAAGATGTTTTTGTACTTGTAATCAACGAAGTGAATTTGAATTAAGCCTTGATATTGTTGATCAAATTAAAAGTCACTTTGAGACCAACGGTTTCTAGCACGGCGAAACTGCTTTGCACATAGCAAGTTCGCACGGTCACACAGCATTACTTCGCTTACTATGCAGATTCAATGCCCCACTACATATCAAAAATCAGGTTTGTTTTCTTCAAAAAAAGATCATGCAAAGTTGTGTCGGTGAAATATCGGGCAGGAGGAAGGTCGATGATGATTTGGTTTTATGATTTAAAATGTTTGATCCAGTTTTAATTGATTTCTGATGAGTAAATCAAAAAGTCTACATAAGTATTTTACTCCTAAAAAGATTAAAAAAATGATCAGCTGTTCAGCATTATAATTGATTATGAGGTAGGTATCTTGTTGAAGATTGAAGATTATTGGCACTTAATATAAACTTCAGTACTTCTTAGTTATCATTCTGTATCTGATCACTTTTTGCCTCGGAAAGCGTAATGGTTAGTTACTGATATCGCAGAATATCTTTTGATTACTATTTGAGCATTTTTTTCAGTTTTTGAGTAATCTGTTCTGTTTGTTGAAATTACTTTGGTGAAAAATTGCATTAGCTGGTTTTGACTGTAAGTGTTGGAAAGGGATGACAAGACTGAAAATATATAAATTAATTAATCGAATGTGTTGGGACGATTGTCAGTTATGTATGTGACAGATGAAATGTGTAGAATATTCAAAGAGAGTGTGCGTATAGACTTTTGAGCATTATTGCAAGGAGGTGAAGATTCAACTAGGCAAGAAGGCAATTCTCGTGGCGACTGGAAGATGTTGGTATTAGCATCACAGTTGGTAGCCTTGTATCAAATTACTTCTAATACTCTTTAATCAAGCATACTTTAAAAGCATATTTGCTTTTCCAGTCTCTTGCCGAAGTAATAACTTTAAAAATAATGCAAAGTAATCAATGTTTATTGCTTCTCTAAAGTTATTTTAAAAGACTTTTTGCTGTTTTGACTCTTATATTGTAAACGAATCAATTCAATTCAAAAAGATGCGCTCGGATTCAGCTCATCCACTCGAGGCAAACTTTCACTTCATGTTTTGGTCTTTTGAGATAAAGTATGCAAACTTTTGTGCGGTTGGTCTCCTTTGGGCTAATACTGAGCTTAATGATGGATTTCAGTCGAGTTTTGGAAGAATAACTGATTGATGTCCTCAAAAATGTGCACATGTAAGCAGCTGATGTTTTTTCTTCCTCATTCGTGACTAAATGGACAAACTTTTAATTTTCATAAGTGCTCGGTTTATTATTTTTCATTAGTCCTTTTAAATGCTTTTATTGACTTATATATGTGTTCGAGTTCTGTCCCCATTTCCTTCGCATTCTGAAAGTTATGCCTGTTGATGAACAACTTTAATTATGAATCAATCGATCATGAGTGATCTGAATTGCTACAACTCAAATAAATCCTTGCTCACAGTAGTCAGCACAAAAATATATTCCTTATCGTTATCTCAATTATTTTAATGGCGCAGTTCTCAAAATTCCATTTTATTGTCATTTATGTCACAAAAATTTGATCACACTTTTTTCTGCGAATTATTGTAATTTAGTACGTAGCAAATTAGTTGAATAGTACTATATGTACGAAACTGCTCTAAATTGTGATCTTTTGATCAGTTAAGCGGAGATAATAGTAGTGTGTAAGAGAAGGTTGACGCTGGCAACTGTGATAACTATTAGTCAACTGCTAACTGCTTCAATTAGTTTTTCGGATTGTATATCTTGCTGCAGATAACACACAGTTAAGTAACTATAGAAACGGAACGAGATGATATTTGGCAAGCAGAGCTTTCGTTGTTTCTGTCAAAAAGGCAAAGCATCTTTGTTTTCCCATGAGACTTTAGGCTTCACTTATAAGATAGGCCTAGCTATCGTGACGTTGAGCAAAGACAAAGGCCTAGGCAGCAACCAACCAGTAAAACACATTTGTCCGTATGGATGCGTGACTGAGTGTTCTTCTGCAATATGCACATTTATTATGCATGTTATTACTAGCAATTGCCCACATTTCATTTTTTTTAACCTAGACAAATAAAACAGACAAATTCATTCATAAATATCTATCTGGCAGTCATTAATTTTTGAAGTATTCGTATTTATAGATCATTTCTGCAGTAGTTGTGCATTTTATTACTCTGGAAAATTGACGAAAACTTGAAATGCTTCCAATCACTAGTACTTGTCCATTGTCACCATTAATGTTGCTATTATTGTGTGTAATGAGCTATTATCATTGCAATAATATTTATTATTATAATTATCATTACTATTATTATTATTATTATTATTATTATTATTATTATT